GCATCCCCAATAAGTCATTTTAATAACTAGAAGCAGCTTTATATTTGGAAAAATTCAGAATGCTACATGCTCAAATTATTTTTTATCTTTTTTAAATAATGCAGTCATTAAAATAACCCAGAGGGCTACATGTGCAGAATAATACATTCTTGCAGTAATTAAGGTTTCTTTCACACCTGTAGTTTGCTTTATTTGGTCAACACCAGGCAGATCTGGCCTGTTTTATAATGGCGACTGTCAGCCTTATCATGATAACATGAAAACCAAGTTTACTCCATAGAGTAACACCATGCTTAGTTTTCAAATCCTTTTATTTACTCTATCCTGCTTCACTGAGAGTAATATTCTCTTTTCTCTTTTGCAAAAATTCCCTGACCACGCTCACCCAATCAGGTGTAGGGTCTTTCCTTAAAGGCCACCTCATCGGTGGTAATGAGGAAGGAACAAATGGAGCTCTTTGACTTTCCTTATCATAATTTATCCTGCCAGTCTGGGGATCAAGCAAGATGACCTTCTGGTCACAGGCCAGGATCTCTAACCTTGTACAGTATGCCATCACTAATGAAAAGGAGGTATAAACTGGACATGACCTACATGGAGGACACAAGCTCAACACACCTCTGTTTGAACTCTTTTTGATGTATCAGGAAAAGTTCCTTCACTTGCACACTGACAACATGTGTGTTACCATGGTTACCAAATGATTTTTTTTTTTTTTTTTTTTTAAATAATTTGAGATTTTTACACAGATCTCCTGGTTTCCTTTACAATTCCTACAGTCAGCACATGGATTCTATAAAATTCTATAAAATGTTAGAGTTTGAATACATTAATGATCATTAATAAATTCATACTCACACTTCAACTGAATCAAACCAGCATTCATTTGGAACCGACTGAAATCCATCCATTTCAGCTGTCTCAAGCCACTGTTTGGTCTACACCAAAATCTGAATGACAACACTTACACAAGTCTAAATTAACAGCAGGCCGGTGCATGTCCCTCTCTGCTTATCCACAGCATGCATCTGTTTGAAGGCCATCATTTAGGCAACCTGAACAAGGTGAGTAGTTCTAGTAGGTGAAAAAGATTCATACACTCACTATCACACTTCAGTAATAGGAGTATGGGAATCTGACTATACAACTAGTAACTGTTTCACATGGGATAACACTGAGAGGAGGAAAATGCCAACTACAAGCTACATCATCATTTCTAGAAAACTTCTGTTCAAATGAACACAAGAAAGAATTACATTAAGTACATGTGACAAGGGCCATAAGACCTGTAACATGTCACACACATACTGTAGAGTCGGAAGTGCTGAGTTGGTTCTTTCCAGCCAGCAGGTTCATTTGTATGATTAGGCTGTTGAGATTGATAGTGAGGAGGAACATTTTCTGGGAGGAGGAGTTTAGTATTGTGAAGTATTCTGGAACATCCATGTTTGCAGTTTTTGGCTGCGGATATTGCTGTATATTATCACATTACTGAACATGCAGGGACTTTGCCATAGATCTGAATTTGATAAAATGATGATCCTAACTTATTCATCTGGAATCTCAGAGACATAATGTGGTGTTATTGCATATTTAATCTTCTGTGTGATATTTAGTCTGAGCTTAATGGCTCCTCACAGGAAAGCAAAGCCCACATATACACCCTGAGGACACTTTATATAAAATGGAGTATATTACTGAAAGAGAACATCTTGCCATTCAGACAATAAATCACCTACAGGGCAGGATCTATTAGTTACCACTTTACTTGAAGACAAAATGTATTTAGAGTCTATTCGTTGTGTTAATACATGGTCTAACTGATTTTTCCTGTTTCGGTATAAAAGCTAATACTGCATGACATATAATCTAGAGAAAACATGCAGGAGGACTTGAAGAACTGTGGATGTACAGTGAAGACTGCAGTATGTGGAGATATATACACCTCAGTCGCTTGCTTGTCTCTCAAGGGAAAAACATGAACAGCAGCATCATGAATCAAAGTACTTCTCACCTTCTCTTTATATATATTTTTTCCCCAAGAGTACACTATTTCCAGGGTACTTATATCCTTTGGGGATTTAACGAAATTCAAATAAAATACATCAAACTATAGAACACTGGGAAAACAGCATAGAAGATATTAATAAGTCATACAGTATAAGACAGTCAATACTACACAATCAAATGTGCCAAAGAACGGGAGAGCATTCATAAGGAAGCTCAGTATATAAGTTACCTGAAGTTTACCCATTATTTGGTCAGTGTCACAAATCTTCAGAGCCACCCCCTTTGCCTGCACCCACAATCCCAGCACAACCCTTAACCATTTATTCAGGCTAATTCCGGTTAACTGTTACCAAACAGTCACTAGCAAACATTTCAACTGCTGTTGTAGCCACCAAACATTTAAAATAACTCACCAAACATTTCAGATAGCTCAGCAGATAACTATCACTGTGTTTACCTCTACTACCGCTACTTTCAATAGCTGCTGCTAAACATTTCAAAACTTGATTATGTCTCCAGGTGTATCATCCTTGAGCCAGACTTGCTTTACACCCTGAGAGGATGTACTGAAGTGAACACAAGGGACATGTCAGGTCATAAATTGCACTCAGAATGAATCTAATCCTTTCTCCTTCATGTCCCACATTTCCCTCCAACTAGGTTTTTTTTCCTTTCTACATCTTCCCATATTTTGTTTCCACAGAATACACTAATTCCATGGCATTTATGTGCTTTGGTGAATTAACGAAATACAAAAAAATATAGAAAACTACAGAACAACACTGGAAAACACAACACACAAGAGATTAAAAAGTAAGGAAGTAAGTTAGTAAGCAAAATATATTTATATAGAACCTTTCTAGACAATATGTCACTTAGTACAGATGGGTCTTGAGCTGCTTTTTTAAAGAGTCCACAGTGTCTACAGACCTTGAGATCAGTGGGTGTGAGACTCAGCTTTTAGGAGCCATGACTTCAAAGGCACAGTCTTCTTTAGTTTTGAGTCTGACCTGCTGGTAATATGAATAATAAGCCATGTGTCTGCAAAAGAGTTGCTATAAATTGTAATCTCAAACAGGTGGTTGCGGTAATGTTTCAGCCTAAGCAACATAGCTGGGGAGGGTATCAATGCAGCGGGTGTTCTTCAAAACCCAAACCCTGAATGAAGCACATTACAATTGACTTTTCATTTCAAAATGAAAACATAAGTGCATAACATAACTGAAATGAATTGCTGAACCATCAATTTGTTGAAAAGCATCAGTATAGTCTGTGTCAGTACGTGCCATATTTTCTACATCCATGTCTAATGACTTTGGTGAGACAGTACATTTGGCATCACCATGAGGATGGCATTTGGTACAGGTGCTGATGTCATGCTCAGGATGAACTGTATTAACTTTGGTGATCTCTTAACTTTTCATTTAGTGCCATCAACAGGTCAAAATGTCTGTCCGCTTTCAGGTGCATTTGTTGTGCAAATATTAGAATGCTAACACTCATAACTACAGTTAACATGGTAAACATTATACCTGCTTAACATCAGTTTAATCAGATAATTCAGTAATGAAATTAATCAGTTGTTGTATCCCTAAAAACACATATTCTGTCAGTGAACATTAGGGAAAG